GGGTTTCCAGGGCTGTAAATCGTTACAGAAACACACTGTCACATGGTTCTCCAGGGAAGCTGCTGGTGGGTTTGAACCACTGACCTTGGTTAGTAGCTCAGCACATAACTACTATACTACCAGGATTCCTTTACATATAGAGATCTGTCTCTATCAGTATAGAGATAGAACCGTATAGATGTAAATTTATCACATTTTTATACAAATAATGTGTCCATCACACAGATATTTGCAAACCATACAAGCTCCAGTGTGTCATTGTATAATGCACACTATGGGGCACATGCCTTTCCTGATTTCAGACCACATATTACCTTCCTGTCCGGCTTAAATGACTGCTACTTGGTCTATGTACTGGAAGGTCCACATAAACACATTTAAATGGTCTGGAATGTTACACATAATTTCTCCTGATGCGCACAGTGGAATGCCTTTACACAGTCAAGAAAACACTAGTAAACATCTTACTAGTGTGTTCTACTTGTAGCCAAGATCCAAGATCCATCTGACATCAGCAATGATATCTCTCGTTTCCTGTCCTCATCTGAATGAGACTTGAATTTCTGTCGTCATGGGGTGACACTGTAGGATAAGCACTGGATTACTAATCACAAGGTCAGCGGTTCAAACCCTCCAGCTGCTCCTTGGAAATGCTACGCAGGGTCTTTATGAGGCAGAACGGACTTGACAGTACTTAGGAACAACACCACCACCTGTCAATGAACTGCTGAAACTGGATTTAAATCCATCAGGATTTTACTTGTTTTTGATAGTAATGATATTGTTTGACGGTTTCTGCATTACACTGGCTCACCTTTAGAATGGGTACAAATATGGATCTCTTCCAATCAGTTGGCCAAGTGGCTGTCTTCTACATTTCTTGACAGAGTACATTTAGTATTTCATTCTTTTTTTTTTTCCTTATAAGAAGCTGCTGTATTGACTTCAGTGCAAATTTATAAAAAGATAACAGGTTTTAAATCTATTCAAAATGATGATTTACATTATTAACAGTGTGACAATGTGAGTGTACAGTAAACATTGCCCTCATGCTGTACACTAATAAAAACAAAGAGCCATAGGGTTCCATCAGTTTCAAGATGAAAATCCGGAATGCTTTGAGTGAATAGCATGATTACAAATAGCTATTATTTAAAAACATCAAATGGCAAATGTATGCACTTTAATTCAATGCCGTCTTTTCTCATTCTTAACTTTATTCCAAAATTTCATTTGTTTCATGATTTTAAAAAATATGTTTATAGTTTTTACAGGTACTTGACTTAAAATGACTACATATGTCTTTTCCCCATTTTACTTTTTCACAGTGGATTTAAAAATAAAAGCAAAACAGATACTGATTACTGTGAGCGCTGAAAACCAAACCCAACCAAAATACTAGGCTGAACAAGGGCTCAGAAGGAAGTGATTTTTCTCTTAGCCTCTTAGGAGATACCAATGGAGGAGATGAAAGAATCCTCTTAAATGTGTCATAAATACTTAAGTATAGCAAACCTACATCAATAGTCACCATAAAGGTACATTTAATGGCTGTATTAGCAGGGGTAAGTGGGGGCTTTGAGCCAGGG